CACCACAACATGTTTATGTGTAGCACAACCTGGACAGAATGCTGGAACATGCCTCATGGATAAGAACTTGAGTTTCTCCTGCATCTGCCCTAACGGCTGCATCAGGTAAAGATGTCAATGGCTATGTCTTCTGCTTGAATATCCTGAAGTCTTGGATAATGGCATTACAGATTGTCCTGTAAATGATTGGATGTGCAAGTACACAGACTGTCTTGAATCTCTTCATGTAAGAGGACATATGAAAATATGATCAGGCTATCTGTATATGTAGACATATCTGGCGCTTGCCCCATCTCATCAACTCTGGCTGATGTTTTGTTGTTGTGCCTGCACACAAAGTCTGAGAAATGTGTGGAGGTACAGTGTATGCTGAACTTGAATTTAGCCACTGTTGTTGGCCTCTTTTGGTAGCAAATATTGTGTCTTGGGTTGTGTCCCAGAGTGTTGAAGAATACAAGATTGCAGGATTGCAGTGTTGGTACATGTATAATCAACACTGCTATAACAGGCGGGTAGACTGAACAAGCATGTACCTCTTGGCTCCTGAATTTTCTGTGTACATTTACTGAACATGGAAACTTTGCTTTACATAAAAGAAACATCTAAAGGACTGATCATAATGACTTGAAAGTTAAGGACAATTTTACTTCCCGAGGAGCTATTGTCAGCTTGTGTCATGATCTGTATCGTTCATAGGCACATGTATAATGCGTGAATGGGTGGCTGTGTAGACCAGCCACTGAGTACCTGCAGGCAGTACAGGCAACGTTGATGTGGAAACTCTTGCTAGTTATCACTACAAAGGTAAAGATTTTTACCCTGTAAAAAAGTTAAAGTGGAAAGTACATATGCCTGTAGTTTATTTTTTGCCACTAAACTTACAGAAATCTTGATTACATAGTTTTTGTTTGCTTTCAATTGATGCTTCCCGTCACATCTATTAAAGCTTCATGTTAGAAAGGGATACCGCCATGACCATACGGCATTTTTGAGAGACGACTGAAGGAAAACTTGCAAAACTTTTTATTTCGGGATTTGACTTCCACTGAAAACTACCCTGAAGGTGAGATATGGAAGAAATACCGTGGTAAATTGTGTAACTTTTTGTCTCTTAATATTTAGTTGTCATGGGCTGTAAAGAGTGGTTGGAAGATTATTCAGGTTCATAGCGCATGTGCTTTTATTGTGTCTGTGACATGCAATCCATGACAATTTTTTATTGGAATTTGTTTGTTTGGACAGAAACTCACCCACAACTGTACCTTTTACAGTGTGCCATGGACTTCATCGGCGAGTGATTGCACTGTCTCTTCCAGGGCAGCTCCTTGAAAGAACTGATCATTAGTTACATGGGTATGGTAAGGATAATGCTTGAAGTCCAAGTGAATCATATCAAATAATGCTTGGATAGACCACAGGTTTGGGGAACTAGGTGATTTGCTTTTACTTTATAGAGCCTACGTTGCAGATTGGTTAATTCCTTTTTTCACTTATAATCGAGCACCCGAGAAGTATTACCCGTGATTTATTCAGTAGTAAAGAGCCTGCATTTGCCACACTCAGAGAGGCTTTCCTGAATATTAAATCCAGTAACAATCCAAGCACAGTGTCCACATAATTATGCACGTCACAGAACACTAAAGAAAAGTCCTTGGGCTCAGCAATGGTGTTCCATATTGTGCAGACTTTCTGCAGGGGAAGTGGTTGGATGTCAAAGGATGAATTAGAATACTGAAATTTTTATTATTATTTGAAACCAATCCTTTTTCCTGAATGCTACATTTTTTGTTCACTTCTTCTTTGATTATGGGAGATGGGCTGGTTCCGGATGTATGCGCAGTTATCAGGTATGTTGTCAAGACACCTGTTACTGCCTGTTACTCCTGGTATGAAGATCTGTTGTTTTTACTGTGAGTTTGATTGTTCATTTATTGAAAAATAGTTAGACTGCACATGTACTTTTGAATTTTCTGTCAGTCTATTTTTGAGTCAGCCTTTTCAAAGTCCTTTGCATTGTGAATTTACAAAATATCAATGTGACTGAATGTAAACTCCTTTTGAAACTATTTCAGTACCAAAGAAAATATTTTGTATTCAAAGACAATTTTTTTTGTTCACCCTAAAAATATTTCAATGTCCAAAATTTTGTGAGATAATGTAACCTTCTCATGTTCTTTTTGGATCAATTCCATGTATCAAGTTTACTTGCTAACAACTAATGATCATGTACTGTTCTAAAGGGCCAAGAAATCTTCCGACATTGAAAACTGGTTCTGCTGTAAGTTGAACTGAGTAGTGCCATTGATAGATATGCTGTACCCATTTTTCTATAGGTTGTACTGAATACGTGCCATCCTTGATCTGAAGTGGGTTGGGCAAACACAGCACAGATATTGAACTAACTTGAGCAGAGAAAAAGTGGTGATGCTTGCTATGATGGATGCGATCAGAAGGTTGGACAAAACCCTCCACAGATTCTCTATCTTGATTGGCCAAGAACCAGTCACGTGTCTTTCACTTTATTGCTATCTGGCATTTCCCGTCCAAAAGAAC